TTTTCTTTGGGTACTCTGATTACCTCTTGTAGGGAAATGTTACTAATAAAGGACAACCCTTACTGGACCTCTAGTAAGAACAGCTTAGAACTGATAGAGCAACCCAATATAAATATAGCTTCATTCAGTTTTTGCTAACACTGACAAGGTGAAAGCTGTAAAAGCCACTCATAAGGAGCAATAGTCATCACCATTACATTTTGTTCAATGTAATTTCAGGCCACTACTCTATTATTTTAATCATTGTGGCAATGACAGTCGGAACAATTTGTTTCGCCAAATGCAGGTTTGACATTTATTTTGGCAGCAGAAACCAAGATGACAGGAAAATGGGAGGACCTTATTACGGAGGAATGACTATTTACCATCGAATTTTGCCATTTTCTCACAGAGTTGAACAGTTCCGACAACGTTTTTGAATTGTGGTTGATTAATAACTGTAGTAAACCATCTGTTTACGTTACCATAAGGTGCTCGGAATGCTGGCTCTAACACCTGAAATGATAAAATTCTTAGAGAGCTTAGTAAATTTCTACTGTAAATGTCTTCTTAGAAACCTTAATAAACATCATAACAGTGCTATCAATAGTGAGGAAAACACAGTAGAGAAGCTATATCCATTTTAGCCATACCTGTCTGTAAAGCATAAGCAAGTTACATGCAACTGTGATATCTGCAAGGGTGATTTGTTCTACAACAAGATATGTCTTTGTCAAGAGGTGATCATTAAGGTAGGCTAAGCATTTCTTGATTTCATCCATGGCTTTATCAGTAGCCTTAAAAGAATAGCATTTTTCAGTGGCTTGAGCATGAAGAAAGGGGAAAGGGTTTCTTATGTATCACTGGGGCAGGATGAAAATTGAATGCAAGTAAGTGGTGCAACTCCTGACTGTGTGTGAGAAGACAATTAACACTCTGGAAATAGTCCAGGGCAACTTTTAACAACAACTTACAATGCAAATTGTTACAGAACCAGTTGTTGTTGCAAGTTGTCCTGTGTAATATCACTTTAAGAGGTGAAAGGCAGTCACACTGATAATAACACCATTGAAACAAAGGTAATTTGTCAAACCTACCTGTTTGTTGTATTGCATTATTCCATATGTAGGGAAAACCCACGTTGCAGCGGAAGGCAAAATTTCATTGTCGGCAAAATTAATGAACTGTTGGATTAATGCTGCATCTTTATCATTATTTCCCCTCAACTGAGCATTTGCAACTGTGACAAGATTTACAAAAAGATTTAGCAAAAATAAAAAACATATTTGTGATAAGCGGAAGTGATAATGAGCAGCAATATGCCAACGTTTCATACATACCATAGTATGCAATGGCATTGCTTTCGAAAATACTGGTACCATCAGATCCTTCGAAAGCAGGAACCTATGAAGGAAATGGAAGTGTTTGGTTTAAATGACCGGCAGTCTCTATAACATGCAAGTGATATAAAAAAATTTTTACGAAGGATTTTGGCAAGCTCATAAAACACCGGCTTAGAATGTTAGGCACGTGACTGTGTGTTCTAATTTGTGAGTTCGAGCCTGCTTTGGGAGGTTGTTTGTTTATTTGCCTTAGCAATTTCACTTAAAACTTGTTTAACTTTTTTCCTGACTAGTTCTAACCCTCTTTGACCTCTGCGGATTAGAGCATATGGCTGGGTTGGGATTCATTTATTTTTTATGGTCTATTGGTGTCAGTTGAATAGACTTGCTGCAAAACAAATTGATTGGCTACCAGACAAATAGTCACAGGGATTATTAATACTGTAAATGAAGTAACATTGAGATGGTTAATTATTTGCTGACAATTTCTTTTTCAATCAAGCAAATACTATATCCTTATTTTAGTACTCAGATCCAGTTATTTCATTCGAATTGTGAAAATGTTGATAGTCATAGTTCATTAATATATAAAGAACATGAACTTTTAGAAAAATACTGTTCTGTACAAAAACAACTTGGAACAAATTTGTACAATTTTAATCACCGAAGTAGGCAAAGCTTTACCAACCTTTCCTAATGGAAACTTTTTAAGAAAGTCAGCAGTCTTGTTCGTTTCTCCGAGTTTAAAATTCGGCGAGACAGTGACTTTAGCTCCACTGTATTGTGCGGCAATCAAGATTTTGAATGCCCGAAAATTGTCCGGGTATGTGTATAAAGTCTAAAAAAACAAACGATTTTTCACGTGAATTAGGCATTTGATACATTGCTAATGTATAACAGTAAGAGAAAAGGGCATTTCAATAAAAGGAAAGTCCTCGATTCAAAGGGATTGTAAAGGGTTTTTAGAAAAAAACTTACTCCGGTAGCCATTGCTGAGTTGAGGTTTTAAGAGGAAAGGACTGGAATGGAGCACTGGCTTTAAACATTTTCGACGGAAGTGAAATTGACGAAAATTGGATCTACAACTTCCGATACGAAATTGCAAAATTTCCAAATTAGATTTTAATGATTTTTTGCTGAATATTTGCGAAATATTCAGGGTTCTTTTGCTAAAGATTAGGGGAATATATAAAGGTCTAGGAGATCACACTCTTTTGCTAAATTTACGCTATAACATTCAAAGTATGAGTGTTTTGGGGAGTTCTAATATTGTATCATTTGTTCGTTGTTATAAATGAAAGCTTAGATACTGCTGTGATAAAATTCCTTTAAATTTTTAATAATCTGGATATAATTTTAATTAATATACTAATAAAATTTGAAAAAAAAAATTTAAAAATATTTTTATAAAAATCTAGAAAAAATCTCAGTCAGACAGAATTTCAACACCGTGTTCTCATTGGCTGCTAGTGTACACGTGGGTTTACGTGTACGTGCGAAACACACACATGCTCTCTGTTCGCGAACTTTTCTTGTGTGCCAGACTTCGATCGAATTTTAATATTTTCTTCGATTCAACACCATAATTTTGGAAACTTAAACCGATCTTAGCATTGACTAAAGCTTGAAATCAGTTATTTAAGCTGAGTAAAAATTGAAATGGATCCGTTGTGGATTGGAGGAATTTTACTCGCTATATTGATTCTGGTTTTGGTTCTGGCCTACTTGTTGTTCTACAAAGAGCAAAGTTTCGAGGATGCCATAGCCAGTCAACAAGCAAGCAGCGCTATTCTTATCCAGAGCAAGAATTCCAGTGGGAAAGCGAATTTGAAACAACGTGTAAAGAAGCCGAAGAAAGAGCGACCGAAAAGCGAAGGGGAGAGCGAAAAGATCAGCAAGCAAGATGACGTTGTGCTCGAAGCGTCTGAAGAGAACGACCTTCCAGTCTTGCCAAAATCTCTCGCGGACGAGGCTGCTAGCTTGTTTGAATCGATTCCTGGGAAGCCTACAGCTGCCGAGAGCTCTGAGGAAGAAAAGCCAGTTCAAAAGCCGAAGAAAAGAGCAAGGGATAAAAGGAAATCTGATCACAACCGAGGTGTAGTTGAGACCCCGCTACCAAAAGAGCAAGAACCAGCGCCTGTAAAGGAAGAGATTTTCGTCCAAGAAAGCTTCGTGAAAACCAATGCAGAACAAACGCTTGAAGGCCTACCACCGATGTTTGATGAAGAACCATTATTTCCCAAAGAAGAGCCAGTTATTCCAGCTGGAAGTTCGGGCAAAAAAGCAAAGAAGTCTAAAGGTCCAAAGGAGAAGCAATCGAGCGCAGGTATTTACGTTTATAATAACTTTAACCTCTTGCAATAAATTTGAATTATATATATCCTTTCCCACAATCAAGGTTTTTAGATGGCCAATAGACGATGTTTAACTTTTTAATTGTTTTTCAATGAATGTCTTATTGGCCGGCGGCCCGGATTCGAATTTATCTATAACACTGATTGTTTGCGAGATTCTTATGGGAAGAAAAATGCCTATATTGTTCTAGTTGTGATTTTAAGAGTACCGGGCATTGATTTCGTCCTGTACTTGATACAAAAGCGGTCTTAAATGTAATTTGTGGAAATAGTCTTGTATTGTTTAATGTTTAGTGCACATTTTTCAATGCAAAATTGATACAGCTGCTTAGCTTGGGGGCAGTGAATACAAAGAATCTGGTAAAACAAAAGGACAACACACCATTTATTTTTGTCATGAATTATTAAGCCCCCGACGGTGTTTATATTGTCGGAGATTCACTCCTGGGGCATTCGGGGTTCATATTTCGGAAAAATTAAGTTGTGAATTGAGAGAAATCGGTCTGATTCTTTGTTTAGGAAATCTACACAGTGTCTACATTAATGAATTTTGTAATTAGCTAAGAATTTTCCTGAATGCATTCTAATGGCTAATTAATGTCATGTAACATGAAATTTGGTATTTTTAAACCCGAGGTATCTCATCATATCTGTGCAGTGATAGCAATCTTAATCCTTTTAGTGACCCATTTAGGCTTGGGTGGTTTCGATTAAAATAAAAACCAGTTAACCGTCCGACTTAAAACCAGTTAGACCATAAAACTGGTTTTTGCGAAATTTTCTAAAGTAGTATTTTTTTGGAAATTCTAACTTAACCACTGTCTTGGTATGATTTCATAAGACCTAATTCTCATATCCGGAGGAAATGCATGATAATGCTACAAACATGTGAACCATTACGTGATACATATTGGGTGACCAGCTGATTTGCTTGCTTATGTTTTTAAGAAGATAATACTTTGTCCACTCAGGTGAGGATTCCATACAGCATTTCTTGCAAAAATTAGTATTTGCACTTTTCATGAAAAGAAAAAATGATTTTTTGGTCATTGGAAATGAAAACCGGTTTTGGAAAGAAAACCAGAAAACCAAACCTACACCCATTGCAGTTTGACTAACTTGTTGTGGGGGTTAGGGGGTGGGGGTTAGGGTGAATATTAGGGTGTTATTACCAGGGTTCGAGATTGGAATTTTTTACTAGTATCCATTATCGATACCAGCATTTCAAACTTGGTATCCAAATTAAAAAAACGGTATCCAAATATAAGAATATATGGTAGAATCATATGATATCGAATGTTCAAAACTTTGAAACACATACACACAAAAGCCATCAGGTATTCTTTACTTTTACTATCACTACAAAGAACATTGATAAAGTAAGTTACAAAGTAGAATAGATATGCATTATTTCTGAATATAACCCTATCCATACATATAAACACAATCATGTGCTTCAAGATCAAAACAGAGAAGAATGCGGAAGTGGAAACGTAGCCTGATAATGAAAACACCTGCCAATTTCAGGTGAATTTGCGGGTGTTTCAGGCTCTCAGCAATTAGCTACCAACCAGAAGTGAAATTTGAAGCAAAGTAAATTATATATTCTAGCATTCGCTGCTCGAAGTTTACGAGCGTTTCAAATCTTAATTGTAAAATTATGCATATATTTGTGATTCCCGATCCAGTTAGGATACCAAGGTTTTGACATCTGGTATCCAAAATTGAAAACTGGTAGCGTCAAGGATACTAGGATATCGCTAATCTCGAACCCTGGTTATTACAGTAATGGTTAGGGTGCATTTTAAGGTATTATTGAGAGATTTGAAACTGGATGCCAAGTTTATTGACCTCACCCTCAACGAACGCCCGCGAGGTAATCAAACTTGTTTCATTAGATCTAGTATCTATTTTGTAATTATGTGCAAGTTATAATTTTCTCTGCTAGGAATAAGTTATAATGATGAGCTGGAACTATACTGTATCCTGTTATGCTCTGCTTTGTAGAATAATACAAAGTTACTGTAACTAAACAGCCTGTAGCCAGTTATTTAGTAAACTGCTGGCAATATGGTCTCTATAGTTGAAGTTGGATTTTTATAAAATAAACCAATCCCAAACCTAGGGTGAGGCGGTTTTTCGGTAAACCGGAAAAACCCAAAGAAAAGTTGGTATTTTACTAAAATCGAACCATGCTTATACGAGTTTGTTGCAAACGAATCAAGTTTTGGCATTTATACACGAAAAACTAAAGAGATTTTGTTTGAAATTTGATAACGTCTTCAAAGTACCTTACGTTTAATATCATTCTACACTTTCTCGTGAGCTTGAAATTTTGAACAGATAAGCGATATCTTGAACTGATAAGCGAGTTAATATAATCGTTTTTGAAACTGAAGTCTTTCGTGAGTACTAAGCAGCGTGTTGTGTCTTTTTTTACCGTAGTTTTGATTTTCGAACATATTTTTTTTAAAAAACTGGTTCACTCGGTTTTCGGTGTTTTCTAGAAACTGCCTCATGCTGCCCAAACCCTTCCCTAACTGATAAATGGCTAATTAACAATTTGGGAGAAAAAAGTTCTAAGTTGGACAAAATACACCCGCCAGTTGAGTGCCAGCCAGGGTCTTAGCTAGAGGGCCGTGTTATCGTGGCCAAAAGTGGAAAAACACGGCTAGATAAAATGAACGTGGCGTCACTATTTATATAAGGCCGTGTATAGGTTCATAAAATAAGGTGGTGCTACTTACAACAGACAGAATTTCTTCCTATTTACGTCAAGAAAGTTTGTAGAATCTACTGTTGTTGTTGAATTGGCAAAAGTGATCTGTGATGTTTTAATGTTTTGATGTTTTAATGTTTTGATGGATAATGGGAACTGTATGGTGTTAAAATGGTTTTAAATACCCCCAATAGTTGTTGAAATAACTTAATTGTCAGTGCACAATATGAGCGTATGCTCGCCTTGTATTTGGTTGCAAAGCATAGAAAAACCACAGGCATTGTTGTTGGCGAGCATAACTAGGGCCATGATTTTGCTATTCAAAGTAATTGACATGTGCACGCCCTGGTCATTAGAAGCATGCCCAAGATCTAAAATCCTGGCTAAGACCCTGGTGCCAGCATTTTCCCCTTGACAAGTAATATCATCTGGTATGAAACAGGGTAACATAACATGAATTGAATTTCCAATGTACATTATTCAGCTCACTCCCCATCGGGGCTTTTCATTGACCGATTACAGATCAAGTATTTTGCTTACGATTACTTGCCTAGACTATTTATCTTTACAACAATTGTGATAGTACTTTCCTAACTATGTCTGTCCTAACACTTCTTGATAATTTTCCCTGTGGGAGGAAACTGCAGCGCCCGAAGAAAACCCACAATAAATTGAGTCTTTTTACAACAATCTCAGTGATGAAAGACACTTGCTCCGATAATTTTAATACAAGCCATACTATGAAAGCCGAGCAAAATGGGTCAACCAAAGTAGGGTGCAAAATGCCAGGCTATGTGCCTTGTTACCTTGTTAAGCCATATTGTGCCCGTCAACCAAAGTAGGGTGCAAAATGCCAGGCTATGTGCCTTGTTACCTTGTTAAGCCATATTGTGCCCTATACTAATATAATTGGACCTTACTTCATATGTGTCCCATTTCAAACAAAGCCACAAACATTGGGCATTAATGTGTTGAACCATGTTGTTTGAAAATACATTTTCTACACATTTTGTAAGCAAGCAGGATACTTTTCTTTTCAGAACATTTAGACCTCAAGTCGCTTATCGAAGCATTGGAAACTGCCAACCTAAACCACAATGAGATTCAAAAACTAGTTGATGTCCTACTTGATAAACAGAAGTCTGCCGATCAGTGGAAGAAAGTAAGTTTATTATTAACAACCATGGATATATCCTCTGGTTCAAATATATGTTCTAGTCTTTTTATGTTAAAACAGTGAGGAATGCTACTACATTCCTATGCCAATTCCCTTCAAATCAGAGACTATGATTAGTTCATTTTGGTACTATTTTGTGCAGACCAATCGCATCTCACCATTCATCAATGTTTTCACTCGAAAACATGACACATTACTTCTGACTAGATGATGCACCCACCTAGTATGCTTGTCATATTGATCGATATTTTCATATGGTATCATATGTGCCTTTGGAGAAATATTAAATTAATAAAGAACACATGTAAATTAAGAAAAGTCTGAGTGTACAATATGTATACACTGAAGCATCCAAATTTGGGATTCAATATACTGTACATCTTGACATTTTAATGACAGTGAATATCTTTGGCTAGTGTAGATTTGCATGTTGTATATTATTTTTAGTCTTGATAGCTAATTCAAAAGTAAGAGAAATGAAAGATATTTTACAAATCTGCACGATAGAATTGTAAAATGTAATATTATGTCTACTTTGTCAATTAAAGCCACCAAATATAGTGTACAATGTACAGATTTTAATTAAAATTAACAAGCTTTTCAGAAGGGGTCTGTTTTAAGTGATTGTCCAAATTCCATGCTACGATGATGATTCATACCCTCAATAGTTTATTCAGCCAATCAGTGGGAGAATAGACAATAGAAATGATATTTGCTTTGGGGTTTGAATGCAAAACGTAGGAATGAGGAATATGTTGATGCATATTGGCTTTTTCCAAGGTCAAGTTTATAGAACTGCCTTCCCTTGTTGCATGTGAAATGGTTTTTGCTGCCGAGCATAGCTCGGCAGCACACTAATCTCTACACGTGGTGTGCTTACCACGTGACCGCCGAGTTTATAGCCGCTACAATCTCGATTTATGTCATTCTGTCATCCACGGACGGGCCAAAACTAGCTGTTTTGATATTATTTTTTTGTTCCCGGGGGGGTTTGTTCACAACATGGCGACTGTTATAAACGGACAGAAATATAAAAATCATAAAATAATGCGAATTTCCATAAAAATTCCGAGTAATATTTGTGAAGATGAATGGGTAAATAAAGCACGGTGTTATTTTGTGTCTCTGGCGCAAGAATGATCGACAATATTTTGAATAATTCAGGTAAGGATGGCTTTATTTCGTTCTCGTATAGTGATGTAGTCGTGCCGTGTGCCCTGTCTACCTGTCTGGTGATATATTTTATAATACATGAAGGCATTTATATTTAAATCTGCTGTTTATACTTGTTTAGTCACTTTAGTGTATTAAACTTCGATATAGAGGCATTGAAACAAAATGATTTCAAGAATATATCGGCAATTATAATACCCACTGAATCACTGATCTATTCCCGACCAAATCGACAGTAATGATTAATGCCTTTATGCTGATACAAGAAGCAAATGAACTTTTAGTTTATTTGTTTGTTATGTCACTTAATATGTGCAAAGCCAAAGGCGGTGAGTATATAATAGTGTTCGGTACGTTCTATTCCTAAATGTTTATAGTTTAAAAACAAACGCGGGATGTTGTTAAATCAGGCTTAACAAGATTCCTAGAGCTACCCAGTGTGGATTGTTGTCTGCATATATGGACTTATCAGCAATTGCATGTAATATAGCATATCAACTGACTTTTGTATAAGATATGACTTGTATAAGGCCTCAGTTATATATAAAGCCTATAAACATGATTCTACTGACATACATTGATATATACATATGGCTGTGTTACCACAATAATGCTCACAACTTCAACTTCTTTCTAACAATATAGTTTTGCAGTTCAGACTGTTCTGAGTATGATCTTATTCATTCAGAAATATAAGCATTGCACTGTATTCAATGGCAAGCTATCCTGGATTCCAGAGCCTTCAGTTAATAATAAATTGAAATATTGTGAAGGCTCTGGTTCAACGGGAGGATTCTTTGATTAAACTGTGCCAATCACAAAACAGAATTAGCAGTTTTAGTACAGATTTTGGGCGTGTTAACCCATTAAGCGCCAGCGCTCTCCCCTTGACGAGTAAAATCGTCTGGCGTTAGACAGAGTAAAGTACTCTGGTGTTAGACAGAGTGAAATACTAAAGTAGGGTGCATCAGGGTGCAATGCGACCCAATGGGTTAACTAGACACATGGGCAGATAGATCAGTTAACCCATTAAGCGCCAGCACTCTCCCCTTGACAAGTAAAATCGTCTGGCATTAGACAGAGTAAAATGCTGTTCAAAGTAGGGTGCATCAGGGTGCAATGCGACTCAATGGGTTAATATAGTACATAACATGGGTCATAGACATACAGTTTCAATACAATACAAAATGATTTTGAACAA